CTGGGCATGGTGGCACACACATTTGATTCCAGCACTCAGGAGGCAGAGGCAGGTGGATCTCTGTGAGTTGAAGGCCAGCCTGGTCTACATAGTGAGTTCCAGGCCACCTGGGGATACAGGGGGACCCCATCTCAAGCAAAACAAAACCAACAACAAAAACAAAAACAAACAAACAAACAACAACAACAAAAACCCTCTTCCACCTTCGCTCCTGTCCTCTGTCCCCTCTGTCCCCCTTTAAAATCTTCTGCTGCTTTTGATTTTCCTCTCTTCCACACTGCCTGACAGGCATCCCACTGAGCATTCCTCCCCACCCCTCCTCTCTGTCTCTGCAAATCCCAGCTGGTAGCTAGCACTCCCTCTCCCCCTCGCCTGGGCAACCCCTGCAGCCCTCAGCACCTGGTCTGCACCATCCTTTTCTCCCAGGACTGTGGTTTGCAGGGCTCTGTTGTTCCCGAAAGCAGCTATGTGTTTCACTTCTTATATTTCAGACTGATTTTTCTTAGTATATTTTCATTGCATTCAGCTGTTTGTTGGTATTCTTGATCAATGCATTGGATAGGCAATGAGATCAATACATTTTTATGACAGACTAAGACGGTAACAACAGACCTCCATGGTAAATTTTTTGGATTTTGATATCCTTTTGTACAATTTATTAACTGCTTTTTTTTTTTTTTAAATAACTGGAGGCTAGAGAGATGGCTCTTGTAGAGGACTCAGGTTCGATTCCTAGCACCCACATGAGGTTAACAACCATCCCTAACTCCAGTTCCAGGGGAATCTGACATGCTCTTCTGACCTTTGTGGGCACTCCATGTCACGGGTGCACTTATATACATGTAGGCAATATACTCATATGCATAAAAAACAAAAACTAAATAAATTATTTTTTAAAAGAACTATATTAGGGTTTTTGCATTGTTTTGACTTGTTTCTAAAAAACATTATTTTGGATTTGACTTTATATGGTATATTTACTGGTTTCTAAAACTGACTATTTTTCATATTTACCTCTTGTTAAAGGGGACTGTTTTTGATCTTTTTATATGAAAATTCCTTATTTCTAAAGGTGATCATTTCAATTTTTTACATTGTTTTGCAAAACATTAATTTCTAAAGGCTGTCCAAATGTTTCCAACAATGGAAAATGTCAACTCTTGGTTACTATTATATATAAACATAGACTTATTTAAATATATGGTCTCCATGAAACACCTTATTTTCCAAACACCTGTTTTCTGCATGACGCTCAACTGGAGCTCTATGCAGGCCTTGCTAAGGCACTTTCCTGACCCTCTCTGGCCAGCATTTCCAGCAAGCAGTTCCCTAGGCCTCTGCTGGGCAGTAAGAGAGGACTGGAATGAATGGGAGAGAACACAAATTGACCTTCCTCCACCCCAAGGTCCCTGGACCTCTCTGATACCCCAAGACACAAAGCAATCAAGCACTGTCCTGAACCCTGCTGGCAGCTCACTGCAAGTTTGTTTTCAGGTTTCCTGTCTCCTGAAGAACCAGGTGTCCTGGTTTGTTTCTTCATTGCTGTGACAAAATACTCTGACCAATACCAACTTGGGGAGGAAAGGGTTTATTTGTCTTACATCTCCCAGGTCACAGTTCATCAGGCAGCCCAAGGTAGGAACTCAGGGCAGGAATCTGGAGGCAGGAGCTGGCGCACAGGCCATGGAGGAATGCTGCCTACTGGCTTGCTCCCCTGGCCCCTGCTCAGCCTGCTTTCTTATGCAACACAGGCCCACCTGCCCAGGGGTGGTACCACCCACAGTGGGTTGGGCCCTCCCACATCACTCATCAAGAAGATGCCCCTCAGACATGGCCACAGGCCAGTCCAATAGAGGTAATTCCCCAATTGAGGCTCCCTCACCCCAGGTATGTCAAGTTGACACTAAAGCTATCCAGCACATCAGGCTTCCTCTATGCTTTAGCTCCTAGTCTTGTCTGCCCTCACTGTCACCCTTATGAGGTTTATTGTAAACATCAATTTGATAATGTTTGCTTGACTACTGTGTTTCTACACAAATAAAGGGGGTAAGCAGGGTCACTGGATACTCACCCAAGAATCCAACCACTCTTTCTAGCCAGCTACATGCAATTCTGCCCTAATTATAATCTGGGAAAAGGCTAGAAAGAGGGGGATTGACAGGTTATGGAAAATACATCCAATGCAACTGTTCTCAGGTCACCCGTGTACCTGTTAGCAACCCCTCAACCATGCTCTGCAACAAGTGGTAAATTTGTTGGTGAATGTTGTTATGTTTCATGGTATTAAAAAAGGAAATAAGGTGAAAAGAAATGGTAAGAGGATATGGAAATGGAGATATTTTAGTAAAGAAAGATTTGCGTTTAAAGACTAAGATGACTGGATGTTTTCAGAATAGAAGTGATAATAAGAATGTTTGAGCCACACTTGCAGGCAAGCACTCAGACACATAATAAATAAATAGATAAATAAATAAATAAATAAATAAATAAATAAATTACAAAGAAATAAATAAACCAGGTTGAAAATGCTTTAAATGTTTGGACTACAGGCAGATGCATGCCTAGCATACCAAATTGAGAGACATTAGAAAAATATAGAAAAAAAACCATTTTGTTTGGTAGATAGGACAAAAATTTTGCTAAGAATGTTTGCAAGCCAGGATGGTGACACACACCTTTTGTCCCTGCAGACCCCACCTGTTATCACTGCTTGCAGTGGTCTGCATAGTGAGCTTACAGTTGTGCAGGTCTTTCTATGGAAATACATTTCAGTTACTATGACCTTCTTTGTAGCTAGGATAAAAGATAATTTGCCTGTTTCTCACTACAGGGATAGCATTCAGCAAAAAGAGGGGCTGAAAATAAATTGCTAAAAAGCAACCACTGTGGCCCTGGTAGCCAGATTCTGCAAAGATACAGAGTTGATATTATGATAATTGCTGTTATAGCCAAAACAATAACAAAAAACAAAAACAAAAACCCCAAACCCAAACCTCTTTCAATCTGCTCCATTGGCTGCATTCCACACCCAATTACAGTCTCGGATTGGATGAATGCAGGCAAGTATTGGGGTTACTTGTGACTGCTGACAAGTATCCTTTGTGCTTCTCTGTATTATGCAAATGTTACCTTGGGGATTTTTTACAAAACTTGTGAAAGTGCTTTAGGTTGTCATTAGGACACAGGGTACTTTTCTTTGCCCACAACAAGATAATCAGACTCAAGAGGAGCTAAGTTCTGCCTCTCTGTACCAGATAGGTACAGTCCAGAAGACAATCGTGAGTTTGGTGAGTGTAGTTTGAATCCTGATCAGCTGAACTTCCTGTTGATACATATGTGATGTAATCCCCCCACTCCTTCTGAAAGACCACAATCAGAATGTTGGGGACTGGGAAAGCAAAGAAGCTGCGTTTGTTTGTAATAGAACAGCATTTCTAAATTTTCTGAGATCATCGGTTGTGGTGATGCACTCAGGAGGCAGAGACAAGTGATTCTCTGTGAGCTCAAGGGCAACCAGGCCTACATACGAGTGTCATATGAGCAATACAATACATGCACAGGCATAAGCTACATGATGGGAAATAAGCCTTGAGAAATGGGTTGGGATTTGGGTAATACCTTGCTGGGAAAAGGAATTCAGAAGGAAGAGTTTGAGCCCTTCAAGGGGGACAATAAAGAGCCATAACTGCTGCAGGGACATTCAGAGCTAGCCTACAGGATCAGTTTAAGACCAGATTGGCTAGAATTTAGGGCTAAATGTATGACAAGGCTGAGGGCAGTGGACATCAAATGGCAGGGGAACTGACCTCCGGCATCATTCTCATTTTCCCATTCCCTGCAAACCTAGTTCGTAACTAGTAGTCATAATCACTTACTAAATGAATGAATGAATGAATGAATGAATGAAGTGACCAGGTCCTCAGTGGTGGACCCTCTTTTACGTGTAAGTGGTGGACAGCCAGATAGGATTCTGAAACTGTCCTGGCAGGAATGGCGATCCTCATACCCTCCCTTAGCTACTGGACTATCAGAACAATGGATCCCAAGAAATTGGATTTTTTTCCAAGAGTCTCAGGGAAAGATTTGAACCTGGTGCAAGTCAGAGGGCAGTGTGTCTCCAGGAAAGAGATTTCACACAGTGCTCACAACTTGTCAGACAACTTTGCAGGAGACACTGGGGCTAACACAATGATGGTGGGTGGGACAACACCTTGACCAGGACTTCTTAGCTACGTATACCTCTTGCTTTTTATTTGAACTTAAACCTCAAGTCCGGGCCCTCGACATGGACCTGGTGTGTGTGTGCGGATCACTGGACTCTGGTCTTCTTTCCATGGTTTTCGTCCCAATGAGGCCACACTGAATCGATCCCTTTCTCACCATCACTTGTTTGTTCCACAGGTCTACCGAGTGTGGGTAGCAGAGCCTGACTTGTTACGGCTGCCAAGCCATGCTCTGACCCTAACAGCTTCATCACAATTCTGTTTCCAGGTACAACATTGAAGGCCCTTATTCCCATTCTGGAAAGTTTTATTCTGGGTGGAGGACTGGACGAACTGTGGCGAGACATCTTCAAACACAGACTCCAGCCTTCGAGAACATTTTCCATTTGGGGTCCCTAGTTGGTCTCCAGCATTTACACTTGCTAAGGTCAGCTTTCCACCTTCAGGTCTTTCTGTGATTTCCAGTGCACTCAAATCACCTTCAGCTCCTTGCGAATAGTTTGTCAGTGTCAAGAGGAGATCGGCAGCAAGAGTCGCCCAGTTCCTCTGCTGTCCGGAACCGGCCAACAGACTTCTGAACTTCATTGGGATACAGGGGAAAAGGGTCAGCGGTGTTGGCTCTTCACCCTCCCACCCCCAGGGGGCGCCCTCGGTCTCCGGCCAGACTCATTCACAGGCGCGCGCCCTCCCGAGTAGAGCCGCGCAGGCCGTAGCCTTGACTCCAAGTCACGTCCGAGTTCCCCGGCAGCCAATCAGAACTTTCCATGTACTCGCGGGGGCGGGGCTGAGGACGACGGAGGAAGATGGCGGTGGGGGCGAGGTGAGGTGTTGGCAGTGGCGAGGGCCTCGGGCCCGGGGGGTGGGGGGACGCGGAGCGATGGCCCGCGCCGGCTGCAGGGGCGGATAAAACGCCGTCGTGCCGCGGGTGTGGGCCGGAGGGAGGAGACGGTGCCCGAGCGCCACAGGAGTATGACGGGGCTGTACGAGCTGGTGTGGCGGGTGCTGCACGCGCTGCTCTGCCTGCACCGCACGCTCACCTCCTGGCTCCGCGTTCGCTTCGGCATCTGGAACTGGATCTGGCGGCGCTGCTGTCGCGCCGCCTCTGCCGCGGTCCTAGCGCCGCTCGGCTTCACTCTTCGCAAGCCCCCGGCCGTCGGCAGGAACCGGCGTCACCACCGGCACCCGCACGGGGGGCCCGGACCGGCCGCCTCCCACCGCCGGATGCGGTGGCGCGCGGACGCCCGGTCCCTGCAGAAGCTGCCCGTGCACATGGGCCTGGTGATCACCGAGGTGGAGCAGGAGCCCAGCTTCTCAGACATCGCTAGCCTCGTGGTGTGGTGTATGGCCGTGGGGATCTCCTACATTAGCGTCTACGACCACCAAGGTGAGGCCCGGTGGGAAGTGGGATGGCACTTGCGCCTCCGAGCCCGAGGACTGCGAGTGTGGCCAGAGTGCCCTGGGTCGCCGTGAGAGGCCGTCTTCCCGGCCCTACGAGTTCCGGTGGCCCTCCGCCCTAGAGCACAAACCTCTGTGCCCGCGCTTTCGAGGATGGGAGTTCAGCTTTACCGGGCGTTTACTAAGTCCTTGCATTTGGTTCAGTAGGTTTTTAATATTAAAAAAATTATTCTTCATTGTAGTCCGATAAGATAGTGGTATCTCTATGTCTTTGTTTCACTAAATGGGTTCAAATCATGAATCTGTCCAAGGTCATAAAAGTGGTAACGGGGAAATAGGAATTGTAACCCCTCTATGCTTCCTTCTAAGCGCTTCTTCAAAGGAGTTCAAGGCATTCTTTTAAATGGGGTCAAGCTGTGGAGGATTTAAGAATGGACAGTATCCTTAGGTTTTCCAAATGAGCTCTTAGAGTCAGGTGGCATTTAATTCATGAAAAGTACGTAAGAGTTTGGATAGGCAGAGGAAGATGGTGCCCTCCTGTCTTTGGAGGCCCAGAATCTTATTTGATCCTTGATCTTCAGTACCCAGTACAGTGCTTGATACAGTTGTCTTCCTGTAAGTTGTAATTGGGGCAGTGAATTTCACTATAGTTTTATAAGGACAAAATTAAACACTCGCTGTGTGGTAATAGCCCTAAAGCACTGTGCTGTGTTCTTAGAATCTTGCTTTTCATCCCATGGACTCAGGCTTGTGATGAGAAAGGCACACAGTCACTTAGGTGATGTGGGATGGTTGAGGAGTAAAGTAACTACAAGGAGAGAAATTTTGAATAGAGGAACTTTAGAGCTGATGCAGAGGAGATAGAATTTGAGTAGGGCATTGAAGAATAGGAGAGAGCTTAAGGTTGGGCTTGGATTTCAGTGAATCCTAAGTGCATTGGTATTTCCTTCAAGATATGGTGATAAGGATGAGTTAGGAGAACTGGTATACAGGAAAGAAAACGTTGTAGTCTCTGTTCAGTAAGTTGCCAGTGTGCTCTAGAGAAGCTACAACCTGGGTTTAACCTTTAAATCTTTTCCAGATATTTAAGTGTAGGGTTTGGTCAGGATAAGTAGTGATCTTTGACTGCTCTATCATCTTCCTTGGAGCCAGCAAAGAACATGGTTCCGTAGGAACCTGTCATCTGAAAGCATGATTTGCTTTCAAGGGTAAAGTTTAATATATTCAGAGACTTGATGATACAGAATTTCCTCAAGAACTCAGCAAACTGGTACAAGTCATGAGACCGTTAGATGACACAGTCACCTAAACCCTTCCTAACCCTTCCTAAACCAATGCGATCAGTACTGTGGGATATAAGGAAATAAAAGATGAAAATTACAGACATTAAGTAATGCAGATTGACTTCCATCCAGTAGGAAGGAAAATATATAGATAAGTTGTTTGACAAGATGCTGCCTTCTAGCAGGGCTTACAATACCACTTCCTTGTTCCTGCAATTCCTGTTAGAGCATTTCTGGTGTGATTCAGACATATCTTGTGTCATACTCTCTTACAGGAAAAAATGATTGGTAATGAAAAGGAAGTCAACTTTAACCAAGTTTTGAGTGAGAACTGAAAGGAGATTTAAGGAATATTTTCAGTGACTGGACTTCAAGGATTTTGTTCACTAGTATAAAAACATTTTTTAAGGCATAAGGTATAATTTCATTGTTTGAATAAGAGACCTTTAGTTCACCTATCCTGCTTCTTGACTGATTGATTTATTCAGCAAGTGGCAGTTAGGTGTGTAAGTACCATACTTCTCCAGGCATGGCCATGCAGGTGACGAGAGTCTGGCATCTAATGTAAATATGTGGGAAAACCTTCAGGATTAGGCTGGGGGGAGGAGATAGACTTGCTGAAAGACAGTAGTGTAGGAAGAGATGCGGTTTTAAATAGGATGAACAAGGACAGGGTTGGACTTTTGAGGCGGTTATAGATGATTAAGCTTTATTTCCCCTAATATGCTTTTGTTGAAGTCTGTTCCTAAATAGATACTTAACTTGAAATCCCATTGACATACACATAAATGCTCCTTTCATTGAATACCTGCTGTGGTATAGAGCTCTGTGGCACAAAGACGTGTAAAAAGTGGTGCCTCTCGGAGTTAACACTCAAGGAAGGAAGTCTAAAAATTAATTCAGGCTGATACACAAATTATAATGACAAGTGAGTAGACGAGATTTTATTTAAGGAGAGGAAAATGGGAAGCCCCTGAGAAGTGGAATTGCCCTCATATGCCTCTAGAAAGAAGGGAGTGTGATGTTGCATTGCACCTAGGAAAAATAAAATTTGGATTAGCTTGAACAGTACACTGTTCTCTGTATGTGGATAGGAAATGCCACCTCTTTCCATTAGACTTCGCTTGAACAATAGCATTGAATAGAGTGTTGGGAACAGTGAATGTACCAGGTAAGTTTATTTAATGAAGTTTTGGAAAAAAAGGTAAGATGTGCTTGGGCAACTGTTTTGCTTATATGTTGCTTTGTAGACATCTACCCCTAAGTATAGCGTTCTAAATTAATGTGTTGAATCTGTTCATTTGGGCAATTTTCCTTGGAGTCACTTACATAAATTACAGTCAGATAGCCAACAGGGTCATAAAGGTTTCTCATTAATGTGTCATCTATTTTATGCCTGGTTTATAGCTGGAATTGGAGAGAGACGATATCTGTCTTCACATGATTATTCTACATGACTAACGTAGGCTTTTTCAAAAACAGTTGAAGACCAAAGCTGATTAACAAACCAGTAACTTCTCAATGGGAAAATGGCTGTGCTGAAAGATGGAGACAGCAGAAGGAAACCCTGGTGGTTCTCAGTAGTTTGCGTCCACCCTTGTTTGGCCTTAATGCTAAGAGTCGGACTGATTTTTTTATTCAGGTAGAACTGTAATATGACTTAGTAATACCCAATTCTTTTATTGGAAATTGGAATTGTTAGGAATTCTGGTAAGGAGATTTGACTGTCTACATGATTATGATTTAGGAAATGATCATAACAAGAATTTGGGACATAACTGTTACGTAAATTTTTTGGTGTTAACAGCCTTAGGGATGTTAATGTTTGTGTTCACTTGAAGTACACATTGCTCTAAAGTATCTGGATATTATGGAACCTGCCCAGCTGTATTGGCACCATGCTGGGACCTTACTGTAAGTAAGGTATTTAAAAGTACCTGAGAATGAGTCCTTGGGATGTTTATAGGAATTACTGATTCATCAAATTTACTGATCCAGTGGAACTGAAGGAGTAGAACCCGGGAATTTCTATTTTTATCAAGCTACTTTTATGGCACTTGTGCACACTGGAGTTTGACCTTAACACAGAACAAAAGGTACTCTGCTACTTGCCTTACATAAGTTTAATCATGGGCTAGGGACATAGCTTAGTGGTAGAGTGCTCAGGCTTAATCTCCAGCATATGTGCACAGACACACAGACAGATAGACAGACAGACAGACAGACACACACACACACACACACACACACACTCGCCATACATTATTCATCTGTCACATTGGTTTTCATGAGTGAGTATAATTTGGAGTGGGATGTAGTGTTATTTGCTATAAATTGAAATGATTCCGATAAGGTATTTTCTATATAAGAATTCAGTAACAAGGCAGCAAAAATCTTTTGTCGCTTTTTCTACTTTTATCTCTTTATTTTTAAGTGTGTGCTATCTGTCCTCTGCAGAGTTTTGGGGCTCTGCTTTTCTCACACTAGTATTGAAGGCCCAGCCTTCCCAAACTATTTCTCTTCAATCTCAGTACCTTTTGTTGCATTTGTATTTAGGCTGCTTGATATCACTTCTCCTGGAATAGTCTCACTTTTTTCCTGGCAAATAGTTCAGTATCTGTGAGCCCATCTTAGTCTCCCTTGCCTCTATCTGACTCTGTTGCAGGATTTCCTCAGAACTCTGGGTACCTCTAAAGACACTTCTGTTTTCAAGTTAGTATGTGTATGTATGCACCTGAAGTTTCTAAATTAAAAGCCCCACAGATGCTGTGTATACTTACTTTTGATTCTCTTGCAGAGTGTGGTTTGGTGTTAAGCCTGTGTGGGAAGTCAGTACATATTCCTTGAATCCAAAGGAGGGCTCATCCTGGAGATGAGCATAATGAACTGAATTGCAGTTTCTGTCACAACAGTGAAGCTTTAAGGAAAATGCAGTTACTTTGCCCTTGTTTATAAGTTGGCATATGACAACTATTGAATGTGTGAGTCTTATTAATGATTGTTCTCCTTTGTTGAAAGTACAGTGGTGCCAAAAGTTTTGAAAGTCCAAGTATATACATGGTTGTATTTAATACTCGGAACAACACACCTGGAGTGTTTATATTCCTTGATGTAGAAACTCATGTAAGAGAACCTCTATTCCTAATTTTCACCTTTTTTGTACCTCATTCTTGTTTGTATTTATCTTACCATCCTGAAGTGTCTTCTCCTTTTTTCTGGCAGAGCTAACTCCTTACCAAAATTCTATCATTGACACTTGGAGTATCCCGCCAAGCTCACCTCTTCAGTAGTCTCTTTCCATTCTTCCTCCCTTGCTCTGTCTTGGAAAGGCTCTATCCTGTTTGTTTCTTGGTGTTTGGAATGATTTTATTCTTAATACCTTCCTATTAAATTTTAGTGCTAGATCTATGTATTAGCTTATTTCTTTTTTTTCTTTTCTTTTTTCTTTTTGCCTGCATGTATGTGAGTGTGCCTGTGTCATACAGTGCCTCTGGAGACCAGAGGAGGGATGGAATCTCCTGGAACTGGAGTTATGGATGGTTGTTAGCCACCATGTGGGTGCTGGGAACTGAACCTGTGTGCTCTGCAAGAGCAGCAAGTGCTTTTAACTGATGAGCCATCTCTCCAGCCCCTAAAAAAATTTATTTTATTTTATATCACAATTTATATATGCGTATCTCTGATATATGTACATGAATACAGGTGC